GCTAATTTCTTAATCACTATCTTAAGATCTAATATATCGGTATCTGAAATTGATTTAATATTATCAAACACATCATCAGATAAAATATTAAGTAAAGTATTTATTTTAATGGAGTTCGGTAATGTGCTGGTCGAAAAGTAACTTAACACCCTATCTAAATAAATCTCAGTAAGTGGTCCAATAAGTTTTGGAAATTTATAAAATATGAAATCTGGTTTAGTGTCCATTTATTGTTAACTTTTATAACATTTCATATAAGCATTTAAAATAAAAATGATACCTTATATTTTTATAAATATACACCGGAGTTGAATAAACTCCAAATCATTATAAACATAAAATTTCCCGTTTAGTTGTTCAAAATATCTAATCATCTATTTGAGACTAAAAAATTCAAAGATAACATCATCACTATGGTTCTCTTGAATATTGTATATCACAATCATAAGTAAATTCATAAAGTATATCATAAATTGACACATCGAAAGGTATATTAATCAGTTTGAAGGAAAACATTGTGAATATAATTTTAAAATAATTTTTACCTTTTTTTTCCTACTTTTATAGAATTTATTTGTTTCTTTATTATTAATATTTTTACATATAACATCTCACCATAAAAATATATGGAACAGAAAAAAAAATTTTTTTAAAAAAATTGCATGGTGGCGAATATTTTTTGCTAACCTCAACCGAGGCAACATGTAGAGAAAGGTAAAAAATATATTTTTTATTATCTGTTTTATTACACTTTTTTTAACGCATTTTTTACAAAAGTAATATTTGAATAAATATAACTAAAATGAAAGTATAATCTTAAAATAAACTAAAATATAAGTTACGACTAGGGCTGGGAACCAATAGTAAAAACCCAATATTAACAAAATATTGTATTGGTATTGGTATTGGGTCTAAAATATTGGTATTGGTTTAAACAATATTTTCTATTTCTTGTATTGGTATTGCTATTGGTATTGGTTTATATTGGTAACTATTGGTTTATATTGGTAACTATTGGTTTATATTGGTATTGATTTAAATTCAAATTACTAATTAAAAGAATAGAAATAGTTAAAACCCTTAATTTCTAATTTTAAATAAACATGGGAAAAAAATCATGATACCGCTAAGAACCAACTCTCAAAATTTTACTGAATTCAAATTCTTTTTTTAAACTAGGAATTTATTAGGTGATGTGAATATAAAAAAATTTGATTTAATCATGTATTTTTTGTATCAACAATAATAAACGTATTGATTTTGAACCATTTTATTTATCACAAAGAACATAGCTAAATAAGTAAACTAAAAATGTAACATAACTGTCTATTTATACAAAATATAATGCAAAATAATGATATAATTTTAATATAAGAAAAGGAAATGGAAATAATTTTATGTATTTAAGAAGAATCTTGCATGCGCATCCAACTTTTTAGGCACAGGCAAGCTTGTATAGTATGCTCATCTAGTGAACAACGTTGGTCTGTTATAACATACCGTCCTTCTGAAAATGCCCTTTCAGAGCTAGATGAGGTGGCCGGAATTGCTAGATAATCTCTGGCAATTTTTGATAATACTGGATATCTATTTTTATTTAATTTCCACCAATCTAATGGATTTGTATCATTGGAAATTGTGGTTTCATCTACGTATTTACTTATTTCTAAGTTGTTATTATTATGAGGTTTCACCTGATAAATTTTGTCATAAAAGGATAATTTTTTGTATTTTGTGCTTCATTTGTAAGTTCCGCTGAATTGTTATTATTTATTTTATAAATATTGTATTCATTAGTAAGATATCCAATAAGAGTTTCCATATTATTATGCTTTAATAAATGACTTGATAGTTTAAATCTTGGGTCAATCATTGTTGAAATAATAAAGAGGTGTTTATTATAATTATAGTATTTATTAAGTTTTGTTAAGGCAGCTAAAGAAGCTGTTTTTAAAATAGCATTAGGATTATTATTATTATTATAACTCTCCACATGCTCAAAAATACTGGAATATAAAGGAATAATTGTTGAAATTGTTGGAGTATTAGCACATGAGGCCATCTCTGTAGAAAAATTAAATGGTTCCAGAAATTCTCCGTATATTTCTATATTATTCCAGGCTAAGGCACTAATATAATTTTCTTGATTGGTATTTTGTAAATGATTGGTATATGTTGTCAAATAGGGTTTGAGCAATATTGCTCTTTCAAGCATTTGGTATGTTGAATTCCAACGTGTTGGTATATCCAAAATTGGGTGGGGAAATTTTAAGTGTGGATTTTTTTAAGATATATTTTTTCGAGTTTATTAAATTTAGATATAGAAAGTTTAAAAATTTTAAAAAATTTCTTATTTTTTTTAAAGTTGTATTTAAGGGTTCCAATGCAGCCATGACAGCCAAATGTATAATATGGCAAAAGCATTTGCACACATTATCAAAATTATCTTTTTGTTTTAAAATTTTTAGAAATGCTAAATTATTACTTGCATTGTCTAATGTAATGCAAAAAAATCAATTTCAAATTTTACTTTTAATACAGAATTAAAAATATTAATAGAATTATGTGCTGATTTAAAAGGAATAAAATCTAATAAATGATTATTTAATTTAAAATCATTATCAATATAATGAATTGTTATGCCCATAAAGGGTATTTTATTTGGAGAGGACCAAATGTCCATTGTTAAGGAAAATTATGTAATGTTAGAAAGTACAGATTTTAAATTGATAAAAGAACTATGATAATGTTTCATAATTTATATTTTTAGTGTTTTTCTAGAAACTAATGTTAGTGAAGGGTTACAAATATGCTATTAAATTTTTAAAAGTGATTTCCTTAACTATTGAAAAGGCTAAATTATTTTGAATGAAAAAGTTTATAATTAAATTATTTAAATTAGCTTTATTATTTATATTATTAAGTAAAAATGATTTTATTGTCTTAATTTTTTTACTGCCAATATTTATTTGCTCACATTTCTTAAATATTGTTGGGTGGATGGATTTAAGATGTGTCCATAATCCTGAAGTTCCAAAATTGGGAAGTGATATTTTTTTTAAACATTTATTACAAATTGCCTTTTTTTATTATCACAAGTAGTACAAAATTCCCAGATTTTTGCTGAATTTCGTCTTTTATTATATTAGATATTGATAATTCTTCTTGTTCCTTATCGCTATTATTATTAGTACCAACAGCATCTATATTTATTAACTCTATTTGGTCTTCATTTATTATTATTAGTGTTGTTAAACGGCTCGTTTTGAGCCGATTTTTAAAAACGGCTAACTCAATATTTCATTCAGAAAAATATTACTCAAACCTGAAGATTTTACTCATAGTAGGAACAAAGGTCTAGACATATATTAACAAAATCTCGAGGCTTAGGCAATATTTTTCTGGCTAAAATATTGAGTTACCCGTTTTTTAAAATCGGCTCAAAACGAGCCGTTTAACAACACTAATTATTATATCCTAAATAAATAGATAAAATTGATAGATATCATGTAAAAAATTTACTTCCACAATAAAAATAAACTATAATTATAAATAACAGAAATATTGATATCACAGTAGTATTTGGAAGAAATAACAGATGTAATCAGTTTTTGCAATGAAAGTAAAAAAAATACCACGATAAAATTAAATAATTATGTTATTTTTAATATTGGTATTGGTATTGGTTAAAATTGTATTTAAACAATATATCAAAACCAATATATTTAGGTAATTGGTATTGGTATTGGTTTTAAAAGCAATACCAATATTTAAATATATATTGGTTTATATTGGTATTGGTATTGTAAACCAATATTATATTGGTATTGGTCCCACCCCTAGTTACGACTAAAATAAAGGTTACAATTTATAAAACTAAAATAAAGGTTACAATTTGTAAAACTAAAATTATATTATTCAACAGGTGATAATGTTAATCGTGGGATATATTAAATTTAACTTTGATATTATGTAAATTGAACATATTAAATATTATTTGTAGATATATATACATATTATTTCAGTGAAAAATATATGTTATTTTAATTATTAAATTTTTATATATATAGTTAACAATAAAAGACACTTTTTTTAATAAAGAAAAAAAATATACATTTTAATAAAAAAAACCCTACCGACAACAAGACATTCTAAAATACTACTACCGACGACAATCCACTAATTATTATTATTGCAAGGCCCACCCTATTTGCATTAATGTCCTAGTGTATGTTTATTGATTATGCAATTAAAAGAGATGACGTGACGTATGATACAAAAACTCGGACTAAATTATTTATTTAAAACTAAATATAATAAATTAGGTATTTGAAAATTTAAAATATTCAAAAATAGATATAATAGCATCTTGTACCTTAGATGTAAATATTCATACTTCCTAATTAAATGTAACTTGTCTGAAAATCCTAGAAGTTTGAATATCATATTATAATTATACCTGCAATATAAGAGCATTCAGGATTGACTTAAAATAGAAATGATATATATAAATAAAAATAGGAAATTACATATAAAAATATATATGAATAAAAATACGAAACTACATATAAAATTTATTTTGATATAAAAGCGTATATATGTTGGAAATTCGTACATATTTTATAAAGTGTCCAGTCCTTTAAAATTAATAACTATAAATATGTATGTATAATAGAGAAAGATCTAAAGTGTTTAGGCAATAATTATTTTTGAGAGGCGGTAATTCTGAGAAGGTAGAGTAGCCCGATTGGTACAGACTGGATACGCTTACGGGTCATTACTAACTACTCAACACATCACCCACTTAACTAATGTTTGAGTCTGGTTATATATTATTATAATAGAATCTATCATAATTGGGTATATATATCATATTTACTTATTTCTTATTAACATAATATTTAAAAAAATATTTTCCAATTTTATGAAATGATGTATTTATTCACCCGCACCGATCATATGATTTGTTTTTTTAACAAAAACCATGAAATGAAAAAATAATGCAATTAAAACCTACCTTAAATCAAGCTCAAAATTTATCAAAACATATTGATGAATGAAATTAAAACAATCGAACATGTTTCAAGTTTTCATTACACTACCAGATGCTCAGACAAAAAGAAAAACCTCGATGCTGAAGGTAAAAATAAAGAAAAAAATACTGAAAGTTCTACAGAGGAAACGTTCAGCAAAGGTTTTTTTTATTATTCTAATGAATTGTTTCTAAGATAACTATCTGAAAAATTATTCAAAGAAAAAAGTGAACCAATAGAAACAAATCAAGTGTTAAAAAAATCTGCTGTAGTTAGAAAACAACGTAAAACTTGGGAACAATGGAGTGCAGAAGAAACAAATTTATTCTTTGAAGCATTGTCAATAGTAAATGATTGATTGTATTTTATTTGAGCAATATTTATATAACAGCATGGAAAAAACTTTGATCTCATTTGGAAATATATCGGCACTAAATTGGGCAAAAATATGACAAGAAATAAAGAGCAAATTAGACATTTTTATTATAGGACATGGGCTAAGATGTCTCAATATATCAAATACAAAAATGAGGCACAAAAAAATTGTAAAAAATTAATATAGTACATTTGAAATATAACATTAATTACTAGCTGCTAAGAAAAATCACATTGAACTTTATTGCCTGCTCAGTTATGGAGAAATTAGGAAAAAGTTTAATGCAGGTTAATATATTTATCTATATACATTATAATAGCTTTTATTTTATTATCTACCTAATAATTTGCATTATAATTATATTAATTTAGTTTTAGATGATGACAAGAAATTTAGAAGGAGAATAAAGGAACATCTTACTCACCTTATTTTTAATGGGTAAAATTTTAAAATTTAATTTAATGATATTTCAAGTAATACACATTTTTTTTAATATAATGAAATATAATATTAACTCAATATAAAAAAAATCAGTTATTAATTACTCTTAGAATTATTATCAAGAGACAATTTTTTAAAGTTTAATTCATTCTATGATATCAAAATCCAAATGTTGGTTAGATTTAAATGCCAATTTTTTTGAGATTGCAAAGCCAATACTCAATCTTTTTTAATATATTTGATTTTTTATTTTATATGACTTAATTATTACTAAGTTTTATTTCAGGATTCTCCATGATATATGAGTATCTTAATGCTATAATATAATGTTAAATACATTAGAATTTTTAATTAGTGGGTAAAATTAAATTTTTTTTAAAAAATGCTTCCACAGTATTGAATAATTTGATAGTATTTAAGACTAAATAATTCGATTTAATAAGAAATTATTAGGCTTATGCTAATATTTAATTTTTTTTATTTAATATATTATAACAAAGGTATAGCAAATATTAACCAATTATATTTATATAATTATAACATATATTCAAGAATCCTTTCCATTTTTTTTATTACCAACTATTTTTTTAAAATCTATTTGTTAATAAATATTCCTTATTTAATGGATACTTATAAATTTAACTCAGAGACCTACAAACCTGGCCCTACACCCAAGTTACAAAGGCTGGGCCATACTTAAATATTTTTAAAATATGCCTGGACTTGGGCCTAACAAAAATTTTTATTTTAAAATACATGGGTCAGTTCTAAAAAATTTATTTAAAAAAAATAGCCAGGCTGAGCTGTATATTTTAAAACCAAATATTTTAAATCGCCATTATTAGTAAATTGAAAATCAATATAATATATTTTCAAAAAAAAAATCCGTGCAAATGGTACCTCTGCTTCTGATTAACTAATTTTAATCTCGAAGGATTGATCTTGTAAAAAAAATTTTTTGACCAAATCAAAACAATTTTGATTGGACGAAGTTTTAAAATTAAAATTTTTCAAATATTTATTTTTATATAATACTATTTTATTATTTTAAAAAGGAAATATATATTGTAGATGTACAGGAATTATACTTTAAAATAAAATTATATTTTCGAAATATTTTGCTCCAGCTTAATTATTCTTAAAATATCGGAAATTAATAATATTTTAAAAATTTTTTTGGAGTTTTGAAACTTGAGAGCTTCCTGTTCTGAATGTATTTTTAAAAAATAAATTGTTTAAAAAAAAATCCCTCTAAAATGATTTACAGAATTAGAATTTAATTCTTAGATATTTTGTTATTATATGTAAGGTTCCAGTTCTTAGATTATAACCCGTTCTGGGTTTTTTATTATTAAGCTCTGGGTAAAAGACGGTAAATGCCGTTTAACCTAAAGTTATCGTATGGTTGGAATATATTTTGACTATAAGCCCGGTCAGACCTATAGAATTCGGCTGGAACTTCCAGGGTACTTTCGAGCTAACATTTTTTTCCCTCTCTCGTTAATATTATAATTTTGGATACATATGTAAAATTATTAAGCCTCATAAGGCAATAAAACGTAAAATTTTTTCTTTTTTTTTAGAATAGCTATAACACAATAAAATATAGTATGCGGTTTTAAACATCATTAAAGAAACGCGCATGAACATCCTCTTAGAAACCCTCCCCCCCCATTCATCTTTGTTTAAAGTCACTCACCTATAATTCCGGATAGTTTCTAAGCAAGATTAGGTTAATATAGCTTGGGGCTTCGGTTATAACGAATAGATGTCTGGAAAAAACCGATCCAGGTAATTAATTATATTTTTTAAGTAGACCGACGAGTCGGAAAAATGCTTTTCTACCTACAGGAGTCGTGTTGCGTCAAATTTTTTAAATATCTTTTTGCAGGCATCTAATCACTAATAATATTTAAAATCTATCCACAGACTAGAAAATCATTTTAAACATTGTTCCACATCTGGTTAATGATCGAATGTTCGAATTTAAATCATAGATAAAACGATTCCAGTCCAGTAATGGATCGTATGTTAATATTTACAGTGTTTATAAATTGTGACTCAAAATTCATTTGCCTTTGTCAAATGTAACATTTATTTTCCCATTATCTATCTCCCATGTTTATAAATTATTTATTTTTTTATTATTTAAAACTTTTTACGACTTAAATTTCTCATTTAAATTGTACATTAGATTACAAGATAGATCTGCCTATTAGTTATGATGACATTTTGAAAACGTTTTTATATATTATATAATGAATGTAATAAATGAAATAATTTTTTTTTGTTATAAAATATGATTTGCAAAAAAAAGTATAACCAATCAGGTTGCGTCATTTTTTATTTCCAAATTTTGGAAATACGTGCTTTCGGGAAAAATTTATTTTAATCGAATTGACAATTTTTTTAAAAAAATATTTCTCTCATAAAAGGAGGTTAATCGTTTATCATCTGAAAGTTAAATAGTTTATCGAACTGAAAAATTCTATTAAACAAACCGGGTAAAAAATTGACTGCTAAGACCGGACCGGATACCGATTTTGAAATGGGTTTTTGGTCCGAATTTGACCGCTTAGTTTGGGCTCCGCTGGTAAATTTTAGATTTCAGCTTCTTTTTTTTTATAAAAATGCTTTAACCCTGTTTAATACGATACAATAGTGTGTCGAACGTGTCAAAATCAAGATACCTATCTGTCCGGGTGTGAATGTGCATGTTGCTACCGGACATCAATTTAAGGAAGGCGCACGTCAGAATAGTGGGGGTTTCTGTCCCTTATTTTGAGTAGTAATCAAGTATAGTTTGAGAAACTTTAAAAAAATCACACGAATGAAGACACTTCAATATATAGCATGTTTCTGTCATTTATTTTGATCAGTAATTAAAAGTGACGCAAGTTGCTATTGAATAGCAAACATGGCCAATCCAACCCGTAGTAGAAAATTATAAAAAAAGATTAAATCTACAACTAAAAACAATATTTATTATAAAATATCTGAAGCAGATCGATATCCTCCAACAATCAAGCCCTTTTATACCTCTTTTAAAAATCGATTATGCGTGCTATAACCAATCACAACATTTATGGGGTAAGGGAGGGGAGTCATTATTTTCCGGCCAATCCGGGGGTTTAGAATTGTCGCAACCCTTTGGCTACACACAAATATTATGAATTAAATTATGTTTGCCTTCCTCGTTGAGCTATTTAACAATAAAAAACTCCTGAGACTTAAAATGATAGTTTTCGACTATAACAATTATGGTTAACCGGTTTTACCAGACTAAAATTAGGGTTTAACCGTTTTATCCAGCTAAAAAAATAGGTTTAACCCTATTAAGTTCCCTCATAAAATAATTATGAAGGCATCACGGTATTTATTAAATTTTTTAAAATTAATTTGTGCATATAATATAATATACTTAAAAACTCTCTGGTGGTTTCAAATTCATATCAGTGGCACCTTGCAGGAACCAAACGGTTTCCAATTTTATTTAGGCATAGTGATACGTTGCTTGTTTTGCACCACAACCTCATTACCTCATTCTTCTAGGATTTAAATCAGGAAAGGAATAGACTACAGGAGGTACACCTTTTATGGATGTTTCCGCCTAAATATTGTGAATTAATGACCTTATTTTGTATAATTTTTCATATCATGGTTTCTAGATATTCCATCTTTTTACGTTCATTATGTACGGAACGAAATATTCATAGAAAATCTAGCTTAGAACTCCACTAATAATTTGCCATATAATTCCAAAAATAAAATATATTAAGACATAAAAAAAAATTTCTTATTTCATATGAGCTAGTTGGTTGGTTGATATTTAATATATATTTTTTTTGTTAAGCATTAAAATTGATATTGAAATGTAACTGTATTTATTAGAAAATCATCGATAAGTTTTTTATATATATATTTGATTGGATACAGTGGGTCATAAAAAATGGTATTGGGCCCGATACATTTTGTCAAATTCGAATGCAGGTTGTGAACAATACTTTCTTGGGACCATATGGTATTATTATGGTTTGTTTACAGATTGGTCATAAACATCTTGTTTCGAACTGTCGTTGTCATCATTTTAAATTCGATAACGTGTATCCTATTCATAAATATCACTTTTAATTTGATAATCCGTATCCGATTCATAATCATCTTTGGAATCAATGGGTGATGAGTTGTCTAAAGAAAGATCCTTTTATCCAGTTAATTATCCGTGTATTTAATAACAAATCTAAAATTATCGTGAAATGAAGTTGAAAATTTATAAATTATTATAAATATTTTAAAAAAATATTTGTTGAAATATTGAAAAGTAACAGTGGTTAGTTTTAATATATATGTTAGCAACAAGGTGTTTTTTCCGGCAATGTGTTATTTTTTCGAGCGCGTTTTTTGAAATTTAAAAATCTGATTTTACCGAAAATATATTCCGTCATGTTTGGAATACCTATCTTATATATTGTAGACAATTTTGCTCTTAACCTTTGATTCATTTATAGTGTATATAAAAAAATTTATGGAAAATCTAATATAAATTATATTAAGTTCAAAAGTTCACCCGTCAGATGGTTAAATTTAAAGAAACGCGCCAAAGATTGATTTAAAAGTTGAAAAAATAACACATTTGACGCTAACGTATACAACATTGAAAAAATTTTTTTAAAAATAATATAGAGATATTATTTATTTGAGCAAGAAATAAATATTAGGAAGATAGATATAAGAGTTAGGAATATATATATTAGCGGCGATACGCTTAGCGCGTTTTTTTTAAATTTAAAAATGTCATTTTGACGGAAATGCATTCCATCATGTTTAGAATACCTTCACCATGAATTTCTGACAATTTTGCCATGAACTTTTAAACTTAAAATAATTTATATTAGTTTCTCCGTATATTTTTTTATAGCGATATCCTCGGACCGGACCACGGTCCTTAAGAAAAAGATCGATCTAGACCGTGGTCCTAAATAAAAAACTTTTTTAACCTAATTTAATTTGTTTTATCATTTTATTAAATATAAGAGTATTATATAAACAATAAAATTTATCCAATGGTATTGAATAAAGTGATTTTGTGCTTGCGGAGGGCATATTAGAATTAAGAGTAGATTGTGTTTTTGAGATATTTTCATTTTCATCATTAGAAGTCTAATTATTTTATTAAGAATAAGGTTAAGTTATTTTTACAATGAATTATTCAGACAGTTTCTTAAGAAAAAATAGAACTGTATAAATAATAACCAAAATATTTTAATAATAATATTGCGTATTTTGATTAATTTATTGCTTAAAAAATTATAATCAATTATTTTGTTACTTGTTGCTGGCGATTCATTAAATTTGGTACTTCAGTGAACACTTACTCTATGTTTTTTATTGTGACTATAAGTAAAATGTTTCTTGGACACACTCATGGTTTTCATATTGTAAAATAAAAATTAACAAAATTTAAAATAACTCATCTAGAAAAATATCATAATAAAATATACAAAAAAATTATATTAATTGAATAGTAAAGCAAACTTAAATAATAATGATCTGGACCGTAAAAGATAAAAAACCGGTCCGAACCACGGTTTTCAAAAAAAGATCGGTCCGGTCCCGGTCTAAGACCGATAGGACGGGACCGTTGACCTTCACTACTCTAAAGTAGAAAATATAAGCATTGCCCGCTAACATAAATATTTGATTAAGATTTATAATTTCAAAAATCTTTAAAAAATAAATAAATGCGCAAAAAAAATTTATTAAAAAACCTCCTCCTCACACACACATGAAAAAGAAAGTTTTAATATATTTTTCTGGTTGCTCCAAAGGCCGAAAGGTGTTTTTATATTTGCACTACCGCTACCCTAAAAGTACCGTTTTTATCTGGCTGAAAAACTAGTTTTAACGGGGTTTACCCAACTAAAAAACTAGGTTTCACCAATATTATCCGGCTAACTTGGTTAACTGGTTCCCAGCTAAAATAACTTGGTGTAGCGGGTTTTACCCAGACCAGCTAAAAAACTAGGTTTAACGAATTTTATTAGGCTAAATACTAGGTTTAACGGGTTTTACCTAATCCTTTTTTTTTAATTCCGCTAAGACTATACTGAGCGGTAACCGATACATTTTTTTTTTGCAATATTAAGCTCTTAATTTTATTATTTATTTATTCATCATTATTATTATTTTATAATCAAATAGTTTTAAAAAATTTAATTTATATAAATATTTAATAATCTTAAAATTAATAAATATGCATTTAGGTCAAGTTGGGCCAAATTCAAAGATAGAAAAATACGAATCAAGCTGCCCGCATGTGAAGCCCTGAAAAATATAAACAGTTTAATATATATATTTATTTCCCCACCATTTATAACTTCTAAATTTACGTCTTTGATCTAAATTCAATAATGCTTTTATACCAGAGACCAGCAAAGGTGCCATTTGCCCAACCCAGACCACCCAGCCCGGCCCGAATTTTTTTTTTAGGCCGGTGGGTATATTAAAAAAAAATTAAAAAAGAAAGAAAGAAAGAAAGCTTTCTTTCTTTCTTCCCCATGCATTGGAGTCAGATGTAGCGCCATTTTTTTAGTTAACCCGTCGATTAAATGACATTAATATGCTTTCATATAATCATAAATAAAGACAATTAATAGAAATGCCAACCACAAAATGGCGCTGCAGCTGACTCTTATTGTATGGACACTTTTAATTAATTGATCGCCAATTTTATGAGTTTATCAATCCGATCCCGATTATTTTTCGAAGATCCGAATTCGATCCGAAAATTTATTTTAATCATCGACCATTTTTAACGAAAACTTGGAGGGGGGGGGGAGTCAATGGCGTCTAAAAGGAAAGAAATAAAAGATTGCTGAATAATACTCAAACCTTCCTAATTTGGGCTCCGTTGGGCATCAGGATTTTTTATCCCAAATTAGATAATGGCCTGATTATCTAGGATTTTTTAATAGTAGTTAAGTAGGAATTTGATTGGGGTTCAAAATTTTGGTAAAATTACGGAGTTACCCCAACTATCAAGACCCCCCGCCATACAAATTAGACAAGTTTTTATTGGTTTATAAAAAGATTAGATTAGAAAAAACAAAATAATCAAAAAATTTTGTCCTGGCCTGCTCTTGGCTCGATCTAAATTCTGACATCAGACCCGTGAGAATGTCTGACTCAGATGATCGGTTCGCGCGTAGTTTGTAATATAAAAATTAAATCTATATAGTAAGTTGTCTTAGTGATTGAAATTGACTTGGGATATGTTTGATAATAATTTTACAATTTGAGCGAAAGTTTGGGTTGTCCGGAGGCAATTATTGAAAAAGGATTGGAGTCGTCTATTTTCTGTTTTGTTTATTTCCCATATGTCCCCACCATAGAGTAATATAGGAATTATTGTCGAGTTGAAGATCCGCAGTCTGGTAAATCCCGATTCTTTCTTTCTTTCCAGATTTTCATGTACATATAAAAGGCACCCCTCGCCTTTTCTATTCTAATCATCATTTCCTCTTTGCAACCTGCCTTAGTTATCTAACATTACACCAAGTACTTTATTTTGTCCGCGATTTTAATTAAGGATGGCATAATCCTGTTTTTTAGTAGGATTATGAAGATCTTAAATACGGCAGATGTAAGAGCTACCGCACGATAGTCTTTAAATTCCTTTGGGTCATTCATCTTGGCAAAATTACACAAGAAAGAATTATTCCATTCCATACGGGTTTTACCACTTTCCCAGATTTTATTAAAAAGAGATAGTAGAAAGGAGGATACAGTTCTAGGTGTGATTTTGAGATGTTCGGCCGTTATTTTATCGAGCACAGGAGCTTTATTATTGCGCAATTTTTTAATTACTTTTTCAATTTCATCAGTGGAGAAACCCAACGGGGGCGGAACTGGGTGCTCGTTTGTGTTTGTTGGGCAGAAAGCTTTCCTTGAATCTAAGACCATCATATAGTAGTCTAGCCATAGTGCTATTTGCTCCTCTTGGTCCGAGATTAGTTTTTCATTCGCTAGAACTAAATAGGGCGGCTTCTTGAAGCTGTACGGTTTACAGAAGGGAAAAGGTCAAGTCATACTCATATTAACATAACATTAAAAAAAGGTCGAATTCAGTTCCTAGCACATATAATAAGAAACTCTGATTACAATCTTGTACACGATGCCATAACATGGCTTTACACATACAAAGGGAAACTGTATAAGAAATACAAGTCACTATGGTACTACAAAACTATAAAAAGATGTGATGGAACTAAATATTAATATGAAGCAATTTAAAAAACTAAACAACTGTAAGAAATCTATCAAAAAACTGTTTCGCATTAAAGAGATATATTTAAAATGAAAACTAGCAACCCAAACTTTCGCTCAAATTGTAAAATTATATTATCAAACACATTCCAAGTCACTTTCAATCACAAAGATAACTTACTATGTAGATTTAATTTTTTTTTTCAAAGGATACGATATGTTTAAATTCTGGATGTTTATGGTATATTTCAAATTACACAGAGATTTCTTCACCAGCTCCTATCTTCAAAGTAATTAAATTATACTGCAGTTCTTGGGTATAGGCTCTTTTTCTGTCCCACTCCTTTTTAATAAGCCTATAGAGGTTTGAGTAAAATTTTTCGAAATGTTGCGCCTACAAGTACGTGCGGCTTGCCCACAAACGTGTGGAGGGCTCCTCATCTTATTATATTATAAATAATTAATATAGATTTTCTTATTTTTTTTATTACATTGACAAATTTGATTTTTAATTTATATAAAATAAATAATTAATGAATTAATTAAAATACCATAATAATTTAATTAATAAAAAATATATAAAAAGTTCTTATTTTGACGTTAAAATATATATTAATATTTAATGAGAGAGATAAGTTTTCTTCTTCTTATTTAAAAGTTTTTATTTTACGTAAAAAAAATTCTTCGACATTCTTTATATTTATATACAGCATGACCTGTCTAATTTGGGCACCGCCAATAGCAAGATTTTTTTGCCCAATAAGATTTTAGTCAAAGTTATATTAGTCAAACCCAATGACTTGGAATAATACTAGACTGACGTTCATAATAATGCATTTTTGAAAACGTCGTTGAATGCAAATTAGCTGGACCCGCCATTTTAGTACACCATATAGTAATTATGCTCATGTTAAATACTACTATTAAATCGATAACTTGCTTCCTTATTATCTCGATGATCAGGCAATTCTTTAATAAAGTTTGCGTCCCAGCTGTTTTCATTGATATACATTTTTAATGAACGATCGTCATTCTAGGTATTATTATATGTCATTAATCAAACTTCGAGAATTTTCGTTAATAGATGCCCAATTCCGCCACCCTACGAGCAAAATTTCCCAGGCTCCAAAATATTGGGGGTCTAGCCGTTTGATTTTTGTTTTTTAATGGCTGAAACTTGCGGAGCTTTTTAACGTGACATTAGGCCACTGAAAAATTATAAATCGGAACAATATTCGCGGTTCGAATCGAATAATTATACTATTCGTATAAGTCGAATAATTTATTATTCGTTCTAAAAAGGGGGGGGGAGGATGAATAGATTATAAAATTAAATAAATGGCGCTTCACTAGAAACTATTGAATACGAATAATTACGAACACGACCATTTTTACGGCTAATTAGGCATTGCCGAAGGCCTGGCTCCTGATTCAAACTAAGCCAATTGGGCCATTATTTATTATTTTCGCGAACTGATATTTCCGTAACAGCTGTTTTTTAAAGCTTTACATTATATTTTACGTCGTTTTTTGTTTTGATAGGCAAAATCATGGCGGCACAAACAAAAAAGTTTCAAATAAAGTGGAAAAAATCGATAATAAATTCTATTTAATCAAATAAATCATTAATATCGAATGGAGAATTAGAATGATATCACACGAATAAAACGTGTTTTAAGTATGGCACAAGTTTTATTCAAATTTTTTGGTATCGGTTACGGATGTCGATTGTATCGATCGTTACTGTATTAGTATCCGTTTACGATTTTGATATCGGTTTTGATATCAGATGTTTTCGGAAAAGGGTGGTGTCAGTGCATTTCTGCAAATGATTTGATAAAATTAAAATGAAGGAGATTATTATTTATAAGAACAGTTTATACTTGTATATATATTTTTTTAATCATTTATTCTTATTTGATTCGAACTTTCTAATAAATATATCATTTCATTTCCTAAAAATGCAATAATTGTTGTGCAAGGGCCTTCCTTATCCAAATCATTCATTAGTCCTTCTCCTGGAGCGACTTATTTTTGATACTTATGACTAAATGTTTAAAAATAAGCCGAACCCACTCAATATTTGATAAAAAATCAACATTTAGTATTCAAAGAATTAGGCTAATGGCGTTTAAAAAATATGATTAAACCTTAAAAATATGGAAAATTATCCCAAATTAATATAAACAAAGTAAGTAAGCAGACGATAATTTTTTTAAAAAAAAATTCAAATATTGTTCGTAAAAGCTTTCCTTATCTATTTAAAGTTTTCGAAGATTAAATCTTTAGGCCGTCTCCTGGTACGACTTATTTATGATACTTATGGCTAAATGTTTAAAAATAAACCGAACCTTCTACACAACCTTAGGATTGGATAAAAAAATCAATATATATATATACTTACAAACAACGTTTAATATTAAAAGAATTAGGCTAATGGCTTTTGAAAAAATAGGATTAAACCTTAAAAATATGGAAAATGATTCCAAATTAATATAAACAAGTAAGCAGACGATAATTATTTTTTTCAAAAAATTTAAACGCATCGATTTTGCGAAGAATGATTTTTTTGGATTGCAATTTTACTCTCAAATTCCGGAAATGCCAAATGGCTCTGGTATTTTAGTTAAAATTTAGAAGTCAATAAAAAAAAAATTTCTAAAATGGATTCCAAAAATCATATATAAAATTTATAAATTATATATTTACATAAAGACACATTTTTGCATAAATTTCTGTTTGAGAGGATGCAGTATTCACCTCCTTAAAGTTAAGATTCGGTTAATAAAATTTTGATTCTGGACAGGTTGCAATAGAGAAGAACAAAAAGCGCGAACGAATCTAAATTTTTTAAGTCACAACAGCCTAACCCCTCATTCACATTTAGCACGAATTTGCGGCGGAGAATACAAAAATACAGCGTATTCCCCGCGAATCCTATCAAACCATGAATTGAGAGGCAAGGATTTTATACACTTTATTTAATTATTTGTTATCAGCAGCATCTTAGCGTACATTAAAAATAATTTCAAGAGACCATTTAATTTTTTTTTTTTTAAAATAGGAGATCATAAATGTTATAATACAAAATAAATGACTATTCTTAAATTTGGAATAATATAATACTGAACCAAACAAAAAAAAAGATGTACATAGAACACTATAAGATTCAACCGGCGATATGATCAACATTTTCTTCGTAATTGTTATATAATTTAATATAATTTTTAACAAAAAAGTTAACAATAACGCCATCGCTTCCACATCAATCCTGGACTCCAACTCTAGTACCATAATTTCCGCCGATCACAGAAACAGTCATCATTTGAATAATGGCGTTCAAAACGGCGATAAAACTCATACATCGGATCCCTTGTTCCCTCGGAAGGATTTAAATCTCGCCAACATGCCATCTATCTTATCTACCGTCAATTCTCTCAATAAAATGTCTTCTAATATCGATAGCGCTAACACTGTCCACCACAACAATCACGCCAATCGTATGAATGAATCTTTATTAAAGCCCACCTCTATTTCGGTTCTTTTGACTCCTCGAGGGGGGAAAGAATGGATATTCGTACAAGCCCTGGCGCAGAATCCCAGGGTTAAAATCAAGGTTATTTCTTTATTCGCAATTATACACTTTTAAATTAAAAAATTTTAACTTTTTTTAAAACACAGGTGTTACCCGGAACAAGGCTGGAAGAAATCTCGCGTATACTATTCAATAAATGGGGGCACACGGACACCGCGCGATGCGTAAATTCAAGATAAATTGTGTTTTTTCCGGCAATGTGTTATTTTTTTTCAACTCTTAATCATCTTCTGAGCGCATTTTTTTTAAAAAATTTAAAAATCTGATTTTACCGGAAATGTATTCCATCATGTTTAGAATACCTACCCTATGAATTTCTGACAATTATTTTTTCTTATGAACTATTAAATTTAATATAATTTATATTCCATTTTCCATATATTTTTTATACAAATTATAAATGACTCAAAGGTTTACAGCAAAATTGTCTACAATTCATACGATAGGTATTCCAAACATGATGGAATACTATTCCGAAAAAATCAGATTTTTAAATTTAAAATAACTCAATCAAAAAATGATTTAAAGTTGTAAAATTAACACATTGTCTTTCTTTCTTTCTTTCTTTCTTTCCTAACATATATTTTAAATATGAAGACTAAAATGAATTACATTTGTAGTTATATTGGATTTGAAATTTTTATTTCTTTTCAAAAACTTATTCTTTTCTTAATAATTTTATTTCTATTTTCACCTCATTGAAAAAAATAAAATGCTACATTATTGTTTTTTGAGAAAATAAAATGTCAATCTATATTTTATATTAAGAAAATCTATCTAATATATATATGATTTTATAACACTGTTAAATTGTTTACGATGTAAATCCGCCAAATCCTTATCGCGTACGAATTTTATAGCAAAACTTTTACCGAGTATCCACATTCGGTTTAGGTTTCGCGATGACGCGTTCGCAATATTGTCTTCGCCGTAGATGTTTCGCGTAAAAACAATTCTCGGAATTGGCTTAGCGATATTACCTTCGCGATAAACGACATTCGCGATCAACGTTTCATTAATTGACCTGATGCGATTAAATTAATTAATCATTCTGTATTATTTATATAATCTTCGGATTTTTATTTAAAAAAAAATAATATAACAGTTTTCCGCCTACAAAGATTTGCTGACAAACAATGAACGCCTCACCGCGTTCATTCGAAACGAAAAAAGCTCCGATCCCGCCCTCAATGAGGGCGTCGACTTTTTCGCGAAGTTAGCCCAGGAAAATGAAAACAACCCTTTCCCTTCTCCCGGTTCGAGAGGCGCGAACGCGATCAACAAAACGCCGAAAATTGGCGAGAGTATTCACAAGATCCATCTCAGGCTGCCTAACGAGCTCCTAGATTCCTTGACCCAACTCACGAACGTCTTAGCCAAGAATAATTGTACCAAAAATATTACCGCCAATAATTGTCACCACGATGGAGTCCTCGAAAACATCGCAACTTGCGAGTGTTGCGCTTATAAGGTCCGCTTTGATTTGAGGAATCTATTTGCCGCCAAAAACTTGTACAAAAAAACGGTCGGCGAACTTTATTCGGCCTTCGGCCGTCCATCTAAAATTCATTTGCAATACGAAATCGAGGTATTTTTAAAATTCTTTTTTTTTGAAATCTATAAAAAAAAATGCAAAAATGTGTAATTGTAAAATAAAACAGAAATATGCGCCATCTACTTCCGTTGACGTTGAACACCCAACCGAATCCTCTCCGAGTTACCACGATAAAGATAAGCGCCTGTTTAGGAGTTTGTTCGATCTAGCGTTGGCAGAATCCTGCATGACTAAAACATCGACTCATAGCCATCCATCTTGCGCCTATTTCAAACATGTCGAAACTCAGGAAATTTCGGAAAGCAACCATAGCACCGGTTTCCACAATATGGATCTTTTTAAAAAAATATTTAACTCAATTTTTAAAAAAAAACTTAAACAGTTGTAGCCAAAATGTGGTACTTTTTTGTATCGGAACAAATTTATAAACCGGAAATGGAATTTCGAACCTTCTTTTTAAAAATTTTGTAGGAATAGAACTTATTTCGAATACTCTAGAAATTCTTCTTGGAACCGGTTTTAACAATAGTTGGGTAGTTATTTTTATATACCGCGATATTAATATAAAATGTTTTGGTGACTTATTTTTCTTAGAGTTGTCGTTAGCAATAGTTTTGGGATTCTAGGAGCCTCGGAATTCTCGTAAACGCGCCAAAAATTAAGAAACCCAAAACCCGCTTACTTTTTTCCCCAAAGTTTTAGGAACAGGAAGTAGAACCATTTTTTTTAAATATTTTTTTTTTAAAAAAAAAAGACACTTCCAACACTGATAATCTCATTTCTTCCGCAAATCTAATCGATCCAACGCATTTAACGTTAGAATCTGAGGTAAAAGCCTCGAAAAAACAGCAACTTCCCCTCCCGCAACAACCCCCTAGAACATTATTGCCTAAGCCTAAACACGCCCACTTTGTCCTGATCGATAATTATATCAACCCATCGTCCCTGATCCTGAATCACCAGAACGTCGTCACTAATTTCGGCCAAAGCGGGTCGCCTTTCGCCGTGCAATCTAACAACGTGAACCTTATAGAAGAAATCGTCGCTAATCGAAGCGGTTACCTCAATAGCGTCAACAGTATAGGAGGCTACATCAATACTGTCAGCCCGCATTCCGTGGCTAATCGTAAATAAATAGATTAATTATCGTAATAAACGCGCCCATTATTTTTAAGTTTTTTTTGTCGCGAGGAGGGAAAGACCGATAAGAAGTATGTTTAAACGGCTCGATTTGGGGTCGATTTTTAAAAATGGCGAACTCGAAAAAATATTTTCCTATGCCTCGAGATTTCTACAATAGATGTCCCAGAACCTATGAGCTCGATCAATCAGGCTTGCGTAATCTGAATAAAATATTGAAGGCTCAAATTTAGCAGCTGTTTAACAAACACTAGAAGGGAAAGGGATGAAAGAAATGCTGAAAATTATTATCATCTTTTAAATCTATATTAATTTCAAATCGAAACGATAATGTTAATATTTTCTTTAAAAAAAGTGGTGTCACCAAGTTTTCAAGTTCCTCAATACCGACCTAGACGTTACAGGGCAAGACTCAGGCGCTCGGCACCTTTCACGGATCGAGCTCAAATCCCTTTAATACCTAGAATCATTCCTCTCTCCGCTAACGCCCCTCAATCATACGCCTCATCAAGCGAACCTCTCAAACGTAATATATGATTTGATTATGCCATACATTGGTTTATAAAAATATTCAGCGTTTAGTTGCCTGGAAAGGTGTGGGTAGATTTAAGTGTTTGCATCAATTATCCTTCCTAGTTTTAAAACGAAAACATTTTTACATTTACTTTCGGTATTTTTTTTTATTATTACAAAATGAATTTATACGAGATGTGGTAATCCTTAAAAACAAATTTGTTTTAATATTGCTAAAATAGGAAAATTTCACCCACTACACGTATTTCTGCCATGTTTTTCTTCCTTTTCTTCGTCGTTTAGTGATCCTTTTCTAAGTTTACCCCGGGGAGGCCATTTTTTATTCTAATCGCCCCTCTCCATTTTACTTTCGAATTAATATTTTAAAAATTAATAAGAAGGTATTCATTGCCAGCGCTTTATGGTAGAAATTTTTTTCTACCAAAAAAAAAATATACTCCCTACTTTCGTGGAAATCAATCATATGGGCTCGGGCTCCACGATAAAATTGAATTTGTAAAGCTGGCTCTCTTGAATGCACCGTTTGAAAAAAAAAACTCCCTTTCCTTCCTTCCTAAGATTTTTTAAAATTTTGAGTAGCATTTTAAACGTCGTGAAATGTCATTAGAGCCGTGTAAAGTGGTTTTTCGCGGCCCGAACCCAAGCCAGCACCAATTCTTTGTTGTGGTCCTAACCGCGCCTGAAATTGAAATTATTTTTGGAATTTTAGTTTATCCAATGTTTTTATCCACAAATTCCTTCTTTAAAGTTGCAAACCCGAGTATAGCATTTAATTTAATTTTTGTATATAATAATAAGATATTAAATGGACATAAGGAAATAGTCAATTTGGAAAAAATGGAGATTACATACATGAATGAATGAATGAATATTAAAATTAGCACATGATATTGGACATTTTACGGGAACAAAATGATTATGAGCTTTATTTCTAATATTTAATTGTCGGGTCTCGGGTCGGGCTACCTCTTACATCCCCATCTGAGACCGAGAAAAAGAGTCTGCAATCTCCCGGCTTCGGGCAACCCGTGCAGACCTTTAATTGTCATCAATCTTTATATAACAAATGGTTAGACTTTCTTTTCTATTTTTTAAGTGATCTACACTACCAACGACCGATTCCTGCAATTATCCGAAATGATATCGTCGAAACAAGCCCCTTCACCCGGATCGTGCGGACAGATGTCCACTCTAAATGAGGACATTTTTAGAGTAATGAAATGATGACGTTAAACAAATTTTTTTTTTCCCGATTGTTTTTTTTTAATATAAGGGTCGAAATTAGTATTCTACTAAAAATTGAATTCTGGTTCTTTAGCATTTTGAAAAATGACTTTCGGTTCGCGTTTTTTTTAAATTTGGCGCGGTTCCGAGAAGTTTTCGGTTCCAAACTATGGTGAAAATATAATATTATACATGCACACTTTGTTATAATTTCCCAAATATAACCCCGTTTTGCAAAGGCAAACAATTTTTGCATGCTCCCCGATCCTTCCCTTTTGCAAAACGAGAATCGCCCGCTCGCTATGTCAACCCCCACCTACACCGGAAGCAATGACGATGATGACGCGAAGAGCTTTACACGAAATTCGCCTTACACGATGTCAACCGCTGGCGACATTCCTCTAGTAGATTTGAATAGATTCATTGGAGGAACGAACCACGAAGATAGGCTCGTCAGCGGGAACGCTTCGATGACGCCGGTAGCCAATAAAACTGACAAGCTTATAGATATGGCGCTAGGGGATGTTTCATGTATAATTTTTCGTTTAATTATTTGTTATTTAATACTTATAGTTGGGGAATGGCAAAAAAAAACATAAAAAACAGCCTGTGTTTTTTTTCCAAATATAATTTTAGCCTACACTTAAAAACTGCATTTATAAAATTAATTTTATTATCAAAAAAAAAACAAAATTAAATCTAAAATCAAAATGTGTTTTTTTAAAAAATTGCCATAGATTAATAAAATTACGAAATTGTTTATAAAATTTTAAATACAATTTTTTTTCTATCCACAAAATTTGATTTTAAAATATGATTGATGGGAAAGAAGGACACTTTTTTTATTTATACCTCGCCTTAGCTCGACTATAGAAAGAAAGAAAGTAGTTACTAATTTAGTGTACGAATTTCGTAAAGCGGAATGACTAAATTTCGGAATCATATGTTATTCGTGCAATATTTTGGATGAACAACTTTTAAATTTATGTGAATTTCGTTTTAAATGCTCTGACGTACGAATAAATTACTATACTAAATTAGTCGAGCTGGGGCAAGGTATTAAGATATAGTAGAATTAATTCAAATGCATCTAGTTACGTTTAAAGTTCTCTAAAGGCATTAACAAGTTGCATTAGCAACCCTAATGATTTCTCTGAACTGTCTCAAACCGTTCTCGGGGGTTAGGTGAAAAAAAACTATAGGGGGGCTAAATTTTATTTAATATATTCCAATAGGGCTGTCTTCTCATATGAATAATTACCAAATGGACGATAATTTCCTCATGAATACGAATGACTTTTTAATCTCCGAGGAATCAATAACCAATAATAACATGATGTCCATCATGCGCGTAAATAACAATTCCGTGAATAGCAGCAGTGCAAATGCGATAAATACTTCCTTGAATAATATGCTCGATGACGCGAATATCATTCATATTAGTTCGAACGAGACCCTCATTCCTTCTACCAGTTTTAATTTTGGCCAAGTCACGTGCAAGATGGTGTGCCCCGTGACCCTCACACATGACGATTACAAGCATTTCGGGATCAAAAATGACGCGCATGCTCACGACCAGAACAGCAATACGTTTAGTTCGTTGTACTTAAATAACGATAACTCTTTGCTAAATTATTGCGAGGTTTGTGTTTATTATTTATATTAATTTTATGATACTGATATTATTTTTTAGGATTTGATTCAGTTATAGAAGATAAAATGGATGGTCAGTGATCACCATTAATTTATATATTACTCTAATTTTATGGGATTAACTTACCCCACACTTTTTAAAACTCCCTATACCACATTTCCTTCCTGAAAGATATATCGGGGTAAATTGACTTCCCACTCCCATCATTTTGGCCAAACACTGCTCGACCATATTACTAATGTTGAGTTTAAGTTAACGGCATTTTATTTATTATTTATATTATATGATTATTCCTAATAATAGCAAAGCAATCTTTCCTTCGCCACTTTGCTAGAAAACAACGCTATCTCCAAGCATCCGGTTTCCGAAGATTCGGAATTCTTATCTTCCATCCAACTTCAAAATATAGTTAAGAATTTAAAATAATTGTAATTTTCGATATCAAGCACATATTTTTTTTTAACCCTTACTCATATTGATACTAGAGATCCGCAAATCACGGCCCGTACCGATGGTTTCGGGCGGGCAGGGTCCAATTTTTTTAAAAAAAATTTGGGTCCTTGCCGAATCTGGTTTTTCTAAATTATGATATCATTTACATTTTGTCAAATAAATTGATATATTTTAAAATTCTCGCAAAGAGACCAGGGGTTAACATTTTCTCGAAATTCAAAAATCTTCAACAGATCTTGGCTTTTGAAGATCAAAAAATGCGAAGATTTCGAGCAAAATAAAAAATAATCTTCTATGATTTGAGCAATTATTTTGGGAAATTTATAAATATAATAAAATCTTTTGTGATGAAATCTTTATTAATGATATAGGGCAAATATTTCTATTTATTGATCTTAAAAAAATTATGTAAACTATAAAAGTGACAATTGTCATAATAACATTGATATATATGACACCTAGACTGACGATTCATTCATTAAAATGCATTTTTAAGCGTCGTTAAATACAAATCAGCTGGACCCGCCATTTTGGTAACACATATAGTAATTATTCTCATGTTAAAAACTACTATTAAATCGAAAACTTGCTTCCTTATTATCTCGATGATCCGGTAATTCTTTAATAAAGTTTGCATCAGATATAGGAATAAATTAGGCTCTCGTTTAAAATTTTAATAATGATTAGTGCAACAAAGATGGCGTCTCCAGCTGATTTGCATTGATGTGCACTTTTAATGAATGAATCGTCAGTCTAGGTATTATATGTGTCATTGCATAATAATCATCTCAGAACCTTTAAAAATAATTTTAGTTAAAATAGGCTAAGTTGAGCATGCTTCGAGATGGGTTTGTGATTGTTAAAGCATATAAAAGTGACAATTGTCGTGATACTAATTTTACATTATTTTTTTTAAATTAAAAATATGGAAAAATGATTATTTCAAAAACATTTTTTAGCATAATTTAAATGTATTAATATTTAATGTAAACTATAAAAGTGGCAATTGTCATATTACTCATCCAGAACCTTAAAAATATTTTAGGTAAAATAGGCTAAAAAAAATATTTTGACCATTCGAGATGTTTTTCAGTGATTGCATATAAATTAAAAGTGATAATTGTCATAATACTCATCTCATAACCTTTAAAAAATAATTTTAGTAAAATAAACTAGTATAAATATTTTAAGCATATTTCATATAATTTCAACTATTTCACATTATTTTTTTTTAACTCTAAAAATAAGTAAAAATGGTTGTTTTCATCATTTTTTGACATAATTTAAAACTATAAAAGTGACAATTGAATAAAATATAACACCAAACCTTTTTTAAATAATTTTAGTTAAAAATAGTCTCGAATATATATTTTGAGCATATTTGTAGTCGGTTTCATTGATTGATATTAACACCTTTGTAAAGATGAAAATTTTCATAATATTTCCAATATTTTTAATTTGGGTTAACATTATTATATTTTTGGTAAATACTTCATCTTCTGTGTTGATATTAGTATCATATAAGTTAAAATATTTAGAAATCTGCATGGAGCTCAGCTAGAAAGATGCATCAATATTATAATAGGGGAGACTGGATAACTTTTAAACTCTTGAGTATAAAAACATTAAATTTATTGTGAACATATATATTTAACCTTCCTGCCTTGTTTAACATTTGCTAAAAAAACCGTTTTTTTACCCAAAAAATTATAAACCATCTAGTTTTATTTTGCTTTTCGCGAAATATATTAAGGCTCATAATTTAAGTTTTTCTTCGTATAGATGTTCCTCAATGTCATAGCTATAAAATAAAATTTTTCGGAAGTTATCTATATACTAGAGAAGTCAAGCAATAACGATTTGTAAAATATATATAACATCTTGGGGTAAAAGTAGTTATGGGTAAAACGGTCAAAATACACCATATAAAAAGATATTTTTTTAAGCAAATAGGGAAACATTTAATTAAATAGTTTACGTGTTATTTGGAATGCAGCTTTAAAAAATAATCGCGAAAGGGAAGGAATTGAAAATGTATTCAAAAAAAACAAAATATGTTATTTTGGATAAAATATTTTTACATTCCCCGTAATTGAATTGATAAGTCTGTACCTAAAGGTGGATGAATGTATTTTAAAATTGCTTCCTTCCTTCCTTCCTTCCTTCCTTCCTTCCTTCCTTCCTTCCTTCCTTCCTTCCTTAGTACGCATTTTTATTTTATTTTAAGCAATTTTTACACTTGTTGCTTAGCCATTTTACCCTGAGTATAACATTTGATTTTTTTTTATAATTATCAATTAAAAAACACATTAAATAAATAAATGTATTCCCAAATTTAATAAAAAAAGGGTTTTATTTGATTGGCTGAGGCTGACTCAATTAAAATTAAATTAATATTTAAAGGTTATGAGATTGAGTATTATGACAATTATCACTTTTAATTTATATGCAATCACTTGAAAACATCTCGAAGGTCAAAATATTTTTTTTGAGCTATTTTAACTAAAATTATCATTAAAGGTTCTGAGATGATTATTATGACAATTGTCACTTTTATAGTTTACATTAAATATTAATACATTTAAATTATGTCAAAAAATGTTTGAAATAATCATTTTCCCCTATTTTTAATCAAAAAAAATAAGCGAAATAAGTATCATGACAATTGTCACCTTTATAAGCTCAAATCACTGAATCCATCTCGAAACATGCTTAAAATATATTCTATCCTATTTTAACTAAAATTCTTTTTAAAAGTTCTGAGTTTAGTATTATGACAATTGTCACTTTTATAGTTTACATTAAATATAAAACATTTAAAATTACGACAAAACATTTATTTTTTTAAATAATCATTATTACTTATTCCAAATATAAAAAAAATATACACAATAGGTATTATGACCATTTCTCACATTTACAACTTATTCAAAAAAATTATTTTATTTAAAATCAAAAAATAAAACATAAAATAAAAGATTTCCACTTCAAAAATTTTATAAAATTGCAAAATATTTGCGCGAAAAATTTTTTAGATCAAAAATGTATTTTTATATCATCAAAAAAGATTTTATTATATTTTTAAAATTCCCAAAAAATTTGCTCAAAATCATAGATTTTATTTTTACAAAAAAAAAACAATTTAAAAATCTTCTTAGAGCATCATGCTCAAAAATCAAATCTTCTTTGAACATGCGCAAAAATTTTTCATATTTTATGATCTTCAAAAGAGCCAAGTTCTGTAAAGATTTTTGAATTTTTATGCAATTGTAATATTTTTTTTTAAATTCTTCTATATTTTAGATAAATTCGGGCCGGGCCGGACAAATAATTTTTATAGGGTCGGGTTTTCCGGACAAATAATTTTTATTTCGGATCAGGCTTGACAAATAAGATATTTTATGTTTGGACTCGGGGCTGGTCAATTTTTAATTAAAAAAATATTTATCTTTTTTAAAAAAATATATATTTATAGGACAGTCCGAGCTTTAAAGGTCTGATACATCCCCATTCCAATAGCAACGCGACTGTGGACGAAGATGCACACCTGTCATCAAAAATCAAAGCGGATACTCATTTTCCCGATTCATTTTTATGAAAGCAAAACTTTTAAAAAAATAATAGTCAACAGAAATGATGTACTACCCCCCCCCCCGTCCCCTCTCCCCTTCCTCTAGAAAATTTTATAACGAACATTTTTGTTACGATCGCAAAAAAAAATTACGTTAATTACTTCGATTTACAATATATTATTTATATTTTTTTTTAAACAACGAATACAGTTATATATTTATAACTATTACTTACAAAAAAGTAGAGTAGAAATATTAGCTTTGAACATGGAAGGGTGAAATAAATTTGAAAGATCTCGTTCCTAACAAAATATACTAATTAATAAATAATATCATAAGAGGTTCCCTTGCTAATAGCTAACTCGATGAATGGGGGTTAAATAATCTTAATTCCATTAGTTTTTCCTCAATATATAATCTTATTTAGAAAATAAAAATTCTAGCCAAATCGTAAATTTTTACATTTTTTTATATAAAACGCCCCAATCGCTTCTATCTCGAAATGAACGTTTTAAGCGTCACACGAATTATATATAAGTAGTAGAATACAAATTATTTTCTTTAATTATGATTATTTAAAATTTTATCAATTTTTTTTTTATTTGCTGGAAGTCTTATATCTATCACATTTTTATAATCGAAAAATTTATAAATATTTAACTTTATATAAATTATATAATAATATATGTATATTTTTTTTAAAAAAAGAAAATGAAAATAATTATTTAGATACGTTGACCTAATTGAATTTTTTAAAAAATAAAAATATATTATTATATTTTAGCTAACCTACCCCATTTGTTCGTATAACCCCGCATTCACAGTTCCCTCGAATTATCGGCGATAAAAACGCAACATATTTTGTATACTTCGCCGCTAATTCACGTTAAACTTAAATGCAAGGTAACACGTGTTTGTATGTATTTATAATATTTAAAATAAAAAAATATATATGAATTTTTTTTTTAACGAAATAAATAAAGTTTTAGTATTCTCATGGATTTTTAAGATTAGATATGGTTTTACTAGTGTTGTAAAACGGCTATATTTGAGTCGATCTTTAAAAACAGCTGACTCAACATTTTAGCCAGAAAAATATTGTCCAAGCCTGGAGATTTCGTTAATAGATGTTCAAACAGTTGTGCCACATATGAGCAAAATCTTAAGGCTTGCATAATATTTTTCCCTAATTAAATATTTAGTTAGCACTTATTTAAAAATCGGCTCAAAATGAGCCGTTTAACAACACTAATTGTTACCGAAATTAAAATTTAAAATAAGTATCGACTGGGCATACAAAAATCGTTACTTCTCTAAAACTCTTTCTTGGCGAAAATGACCGGTTAGACTTTTCTTTTTTTTTAAATTTAAATAGCAATTTATCAAATTGTAAAATTTGTGGATAAAATAATTTAGTATCAAAATATCAGCGTTAAGAAAGTATGGGAGAAATTCATTGGGAAAAAAAGAGCGAAGGGATGTTAATTTTTTTAAAATTGAAAAATCAGATATCAATTATCCTTTTATACAAAAAAAAAGAATTTCTATTAAGTAGCATATGTGGCTATATCACTTTTCCACATGTATCTGGAAAAGGAACGGGGTTCCCCCCCCCCATGAATCTAACCAGATAGTTGTTTGCTATGAGGTTATATAATATAAAATGTAGGCTGCAACCTCGTGATTCCGTTAATATATATATCGTGAAATAACAGGACTCTTATTGCATTTTAATATAATTTTGTCCTTGAATGGTTAAAATTGACAAACCATTTACGTTTATACGTGGTAAAGCCAGTAAATTTAATAAAAAAAATATAGTGAATAACAAAAAAGATTAGATTCGGGTTATTTTGATCTAGAAAAAAACCCTCTTATAAAATTGAGATGAAGTTCCTTCATTTAAATAAATTTGATTTCAAGATTTTCACGGAGGATGTAACACGTTACTAAACGAGATGCGGAGCAATAAATGACCCCTTTCTAGGCAGGGCCTTTAATCCAAATTAGGGTTCGCGAATTTTAAATTTATTTAGCCAAAATTTTGTTAACAGGAACTTAATCGGAGCATATTTTCTGGAAGAGGTCTGAAACCCATCCCGACTCTTTATTACCCTGTGTTCGATTGGTTGCTCATAAATCGATCCTTGTTTGGTCTGCGGTCTCAGAATGTCTAACAAATTTGGGTTCACATTTCTAATTTCTAGGTATTAGCTTGTTGCAGATGATATTGTGCCTGATGGTCAGATAACCAAATATAAGATGGCTGAATTTTTTTTTAAAATGGGGTTTGATCAACAAACTTCGGTGGTAAATGTAATATACGAAGAATAAAGACGATAACGGGGCAGAGATGGGTCTCATAGAATGGAAGCTAATGGGAGGCATGGGAAGGGAAATTAATTAAATGAGAAGCTGGGTGAAATAGAGCCTGGTATCATTAGGAAAAGTAATAAGATTTTTATTTTCAGAAATGGCGTTAATAAAAAAAAATTTAATTTCGATTCGAGGCCTAGCTAATAAGCAAGGTAACAAATCCAAGAAAACAAATCGCAATTTTTTATTAATTTATTTGCATTTGCTAGTTGTTTCGCGCACGCGCTCGACAATATTTGTAAGATTTTTTTATGAAAAAAATAAACTACGTAAACAAATAAAAAAACGAATACAACAGTCCTTTTTCCTGTTTTCATCATAGCCGACTGAGTATTGTAATTTCCGCGTTGCTTTTTCAGAAACGTAACTCAGTCGAGGAGGGTTTAGCATTTTAAAACAGAATTTCATAATATATTTTTTTAAAATGGTGGATAAAATTTAAAAGAAAATTTATATAAATAAAATAAAAATGCAATATTATATAGTACGAAATACGAATATAAAAAAAAGGGGGAGGGGGACACAATTTTGTCGAAAATGTTAATAAACGAATGTTTTTTATTTTAGAAAAAAATGCGAAATATATTTAAAAAATATCGGAAATTTGTGGTTTGATCCAATAGGAATAAGGAATTTAATAAATCATAAAACATATTTTAATTCATTCATTCATATAATAATTAAGGGTTTTTGCTTTGGTTATTTGACGCTTTATCTTCAAATCATTCTATTTAAAATATTACGAATTATTTGACAAAGTTAGTTGCACCGGGGTTGAATATACAATAGGGGTTTTGTTCTAGTGTTGTTAAACGACTCCATTTGAGCGGATTTTTTAAAACAGCTGACTCAAAATTTTATCCAGAAAAAAAAAATTAAGATTTTGCTCATAGATGGCACATAGGAAGGAACATCTATTGGCGAAATCTCGACGCTTAGGCTATATTTTTCTGGATTAAATATTGAGTCAGCTGTTTTTAAAAATCACTCAAATCGAGCCGTTTAACAAAACTGACCAATGACAAGGATAACTTAAAACAATAATAATTAATACATGATTTTTAGTGGAAAATTATTTTGTTATTTTGTACATAAAAAAAAAATTGAAATTTTAAAATTAGAAGAAATGAAACAAAATTTGAAATGGGAAAAAAATAATATATTTAACAAAATTTATTTACAATTTTTTTTTTCATTTTGTCTCAAAATGGAGATTTTAAAAAAAATTAAATTTCGATGTTTTTGTCTCTCGAAAAAAAAATTCTATATTTGCTAATTTTTAACGTTTTTATTTTTTAAGTGCGGGGTAAATTGGGGCTGGGCACGAGCTATTAAGGTGTCACTTATTTTATTTATTTTTTTTTAAACAATTTTTTACACTTCGATTCCTAAATTCGATGGCGCGTTCTTGTATTTTTGATAGGACTTTTCGTATTGCAACTCCGGCGTTTGGGTTTTAGTGTGCCAAACGTAAACCTAACAAAAAAAAACGAAGATTGAAAATGAATTTTAAAAATCAACTTTCAAAAAGAATCATTCCTTCGGATTATCTTCTCTTCTCCATTCTTTCTTTCCTTTCTCTTCTTTCTTTCTTTCTATACGAGAGCAAACAAAACTCATCGAATCACAATAAAAAAAAAACTTTCCCCCGCCCTTAGCAAAACCTATTCCTCGGTCTTATCAAAGCCATAACCCGATGGGGTGTAAACTAGAAGAAAGCCGCATCAGATACCATACTGTTATTTTTAGTTTTTCATTAAGGGAAAAGAAAAAAGTTTATAGGTGCCGAAGGAAAGTAAAAAAAAAAAATTATTTGAAAAAGAATATTTTTATAAATTATAAAAAGGAGAAAAAAAAATAGTTTTAATTAGATCAGGATCTGGTGGGAATGGAAATTTCCGTATTGATCGACTCTAAAGAATGTCTGTCTAAGTCCTAACGATCTGAGTTATGCAGAAACCTTTCGAGAATTATCTCACTCACGGCTAACAAATAAAAGCTTACCTGAAATCGGAGGATCAATGATAAGTAAACAACCCTACTAAAGCTCCGATGGGAAGGATTTTATAAGGGGCTTTAGTTAAATCAGCTGTTTTATAACCTAAATTTTTTAAAAATGGTACAACAGATTTTTCTCGAGCATTTAAAAAACTATTTGCCTAAATTTATAGAATAAAATAAGAGTAGTAAATTAAAAAATAAAACCTTGGTACAATTGTCGGCTAAAGGTTCCAGCTGATCTCTGGTCACGAGGTGTTTCAATAAGGACGTCTCTACGAGTCCTATTTTATGTACGGACAATATATTTTGTAAAAACAAATAGTGAAATTATATGGATAAACCACCCAGACATATAAAGCTTGGAGGGACGAAGCGTCGCTGTATAAAAATCAGCTGGAGAGCGCCATTTTGGTTTCGATATACCATAATTCGTAAAATTTTAATCTAAATTGTTAATATAGTTATACTACTTTGCTTTAAATTTTTTTAAATATATATGTATTGTATATATAAAACAATACAAATGCCAGTAAGTCTACATGTAGACAAATAAAATGGCGCCTACAGCTGATTAATATTAGCGCATTCTCTCCCTTCTTAATTTTTGGCTTATTTATTTTTGCATTTGTTATTTTTTAGTAACTCTAGTGTTGTTGAGGCGAAAATTATGAGCCGAATTATACTCTTAAGCCTCAATTTTTTTTGCTAATAGACGTTAAAATATTTCGCGCCATTTATGAGCAAAATCTTCCGGCTTTTGAGAAACATTTTTCTAGATAAATTTTTTCAAAAATCGGCTTAGAATCGTGCAGGTTTTAAAAATGGACTATATTTCCGCCGTTTTTAAAAATAGGCTAAAATCGCGCCCTTTTTAAAAAATAGTCTATTAGAATCGTGACGTTTTTAAAAATAGGCTAGAATCGTGCCAAAATTGGTTAGATTCGCGCCGGTTTAAGAAATTGGTTAGAATCGCCCCGGTTTAATAACCCGGCTTGAATCACGCCGGTTTAATACTAATAACTAACTACCAATATTCTTATAAAATTTCGGTTTTGAACCCGGTTTCGTTTAGTTCGGAAAAAAAATATATAGACAAACTAAATAAATAAATATTTTTCTTAAAAAAAAGGATTAACTTAAAACAATATTTTATAAAGTTTTTTTTCCGAGATCGCCTAATTTAGGAATCATCCCTTCCCGCGAGGATTAAGTAATCTCTCAAATTTGAATCATTTACGAAGAGGCCAATTTTTAATCTTTCTTTCTTCCTTTCTTTCTTTTTTCTTTCTAACTTTCTTATGATTTTACCGAAAATGTATTCCACCGTGTATAACTAGACTCTATCTCTTACCCCATAAATCTCGAGACAATTTTTGCCAAATATTTTTGATATTTACAAATTAGATATTAGTTCAAAAGTTGGAGGTACTTTCTTCTTTTTTTTAGAAATTCGCAAGGTAAGTTATTAGAAGTCTATGGTAGTGTTGTTAAACAGTTCTATTTGAGCCGATTTTTACAAACGGCTAACTCAATATTTTAGCCAGAAGTAAATTGCCTAAGTCTTGAGATTTCACTGATGTCCAAATCTTCGTTCCACGAGAAAAATCTTCAGGCTTACGTAATATATTACTGTTAAAATATTGATATAATAGCCTTTCTAGAAAAATAGTTTAAATAAATAAACAAAGAGCCACACCAACCATTAAAATAAATTTTTAAACATATAGAGGGCGTGTTAAACAAATTTTTTGGATAAATGAGCGGGCGGCTAGGGTAGGCGGACGAGACCGAAAATAAAAAGGATGATGTTTTGTAACTTGGCAATTATATAGTATTCAATATGAACGTTAATAATCTCCAATTAAACATTTTAATATGCAATATTTAGAAAATAAATTTAGGATTTCTGATGATCAGATTTCTCCGGAAAAAATATCAAGAATTCACCGGCCCGCGCCTGCCCAATATTTAAAATTAAAAAAACGCCCACGCCTGCCGGAGAATAAGCGAGCGTGAACGAGTGAGATAAAAATGGCCCATTGCAGACCTCTGGTAGTTATAGTGGAAACTCATTTTCGGTATTTCAATCCTCGCTGGATTAGGTATCCTCACGGGAAGATTTCGGATCAGCCGTCATTCCAGAAATCCTTACCCCACACATATAATTATAAATTTAGTTGTACTTCTGTTAAAATCCCTGGAATTTCTAAGAGAAAGTTTTACTTCCGGTTCCAAACTCTGACTGTAAAAAAAATGAATCAATACAAAAAAAACCAACCTACATTAGTTTCCACCTTGAATTCGGCTTCGGGTACGCTTAGCAACAGATCCGTGTTTACAGCAAAACCTGCCATGTCCAAAGGAAAAGGCCGATTAGGACCGAAAAAAACCTGAAATTTCGAAATTCGACCCGTTCTGGGATCCACCAAAGGTCGCTCTACGTAAAGACCTCCCACGAGACCGACTGGCCACACGCCAACCCGTTTAATATAGCGCATCTTATATATGCAATTTGTAAAAAGAAAAAATTTGTTTCCGGTTTCTAAATATTTGAAAACGAAAGGGGGGGGAGTTCTAATTCTTAGATTTTCCGGGGTTCTGATAGGCTAAGCTTCCGTTCCGTTCTCAAACTTAAAAATGCTAAAAAAAATCAAACACTTAATAAATCGGGGAACATTTTGAAACCGGTTTAAGAAACATTCCTTCCAAAATATATTTTGGTCCCTAGAATCTTAAAATGGGATTTCAGATTCTGGTTTCGGTTCCTAGATTTTTCCATGTCCCGAGGAGTTAAAGGCTTTTTCAAAAAATTTGAAATGTATATATTTTTTTCCTTGTAAGTATGATATACGCATTCGTAAAGAAATAAAGATATTTATTAACAAAAAAACAATCTCGTAAGAAACGATTCTGATAATTAACTAGCTAAGTAATCCTTGGGGATCCTAACAAGCATAAAAATGGGATTTTTGGGTCATTCCATGTCAAATGAGCAAAAAAATCAAGATTTTCGGCCGACCCCTTTCAATTTTGATAAAAAGTTGTAGACTGGTTATATATGTTTCTATTAGATTATAAACAAAATTTTAGCGCATTAGCAACTATATTAGCGGAGATAATCGGGGTTAAAGGTCCAAAAAACTCCTTTTTTTCCTTTTTACTGATGTTAAATAATTAGTTTTAAATTTAAAACTAAATATGATCAAATATTGAATCTAATATCAATAGCTAAGTTAATAATTGATAATTATGGCGAAAACATCAAAAATAATTTTTTTAAAAATATGGGTCATCTTATGGTCAGTTGAAAACTTGAAATTAATATTTCGAAATGTATATGATCTCCGATTTTTAATTTTTTTAAGAAATATTATATGTTTACTATTTTTTTAATAATTTCTTTAACAATTAGCATGGCTAAATATTTATTTAAAAAAATAGATGGCGCTATATATAATAGTTTTAATATGTTAGAATTCATTTTTTTTATTGATTAAAAATATTTTAATGTATAATATATCATAAAATTCGATTATATAACTTTGTAAACCTTATTCCCCTGAGATATTCGCAAGATAAAAAATTTTAATAATTTTTTTAATATTTCAAATGTAAATTAAAATAATTAAAAAATCGGACTAGCACACGAACAAAAAAGCAGTATTAAAGGAGTGCAGGAAAATTATTAAGGGAAAAATCGAAAATGACATTAATTACCAAGCCTACCCCCAACCCCCTATCCACGCCCCCCCCAGACTAAGTCATACCCATCAAGACCAAGAATGTTATGAAATTGTCATTATCTTACATTATTAAAATAACCAGAGATAAAGAAAATTTCAAAGATTTTGAAAATTTTTTTAAGCAATAAAAATAACAAAATTATAGTTCTGATGAAATAAGCCGACTCATGCCTGGAATAAAAGATTGTCTATCTGTTAAAGGCGAGAAAGAATCAGCAAAGATTTATATTAAATAATCTTAAAGAAATATTCAAGATGTTTAAGGAAGAATACCCAAGTATATCAATTGGATTCTCTAAATTTGGCGAACTTAGACCAAAAAACTGAATTTTAGTTGGATGGCACACACACTGTTTGTGTCTGCGCCATTCATTAGAATGTGAAATTAATGACAAATGTAATACCTTAAATTACAGCAGGAGAAGATTACTGTATAAATTCTTATAACAATCTTTTGGCGCAAATTATTAGTAATCCATCTCAGCCAAAATGTTATTTAACAAATTGTGATCAATGCCCTGGTATAGAATCTCTTATGGGCCAATTATACGAATTGTTTCAGAGAAATCGTATAGAATATGTCATGTTTAAACAATGGATCACGGTGGATAGAGCAAATCTTGAAACTATTATAAAGTCCGTTGATGATTTCATCGATTATTTATTAGAAAAAGTTCAAATTTTACTGCGTCACTCGTTTATAGCTAAACAACAAAGTTTATTTTTGAAGAATTCCAAAGAAAATTTAAAAGATGGGGAATTTTTAACAATTCTAGATTATTCTGAGAATTATTCCTTCATTTTACAAGATGAAGTTCAGGGATTTCATTGGAACAATGTACAGGTCACTATACATCCATTTGTAGCATATTATAAATCTGGAGAAGAATTAAAAAATATAAATTTTGTTATTTTGTCCGAATCATTAAGCCATAATACTAGTGCAGTCCACCTTTATCAAAAAAAATTCATTAAATTCTTAACAGCCAAATTTAATTCTAAACCAGAAAAAATAATATATTTTTCGGATGAAGCCGCGTCTCAATACAAGAATCGCAAAAATTTTCTGAACATATGCCTTCATAAATACGATTTTAATATTCCTGCCGAATGGCATTTCTTTGTCACTGCTCACGGCAAAAATGCATGTGACGGTATCGGAGGAACTGTCAAAAGATTAGTTGCCAGAGCTAGTCTTCAAAGGCCAAATAAAAATCAAATCCTAACCCCATTAGAATTATATAATTATGCTAAAGAAAATATTAATATTCAATTTGAATATGTATCCAATCAAGAATATATCAAAGAGGAATTAGCCCTTCGTAAAAGATTTAATTCTGCACTGCCCATACATGGGACCCAAAAAATTCATGGGATTATTCCCATTGATCAAAATAAACTAAAAACCAAAATATATTCTAATTCCAAAAAATATAATATAAAACAAGTTTCGTTTTTAAATGAGAAAATTATATTTTAAAATATTAATGGATATATAACATGTTTATATGATGATAAATGGTGGTTAGGATATATAATCGATAAAAGTGATACAAATGAAGAAGTAAAAATCCTATTTTTACACCCTTGTGGACCTTCAGCCTCATTTAAATTTCCTCTGAAAGATAATATTTTAGTGTTGCTTAAATCTCATATTCTCTCGCTGGTCAATCCTTCTACTCCCACCAGTCGAACATATATATTATCTCCTGAAGAATCTCACAAGCTAGCCAGGCTTTGTATTCCTTTAGATGAAGTAAGATTTAATTAATTTATAAACTATCTTAATTAGGCAAAATTTATGAAGATTTTAAAAATTTATGATCTGAATTACAAATAATATATATAATGCACATTGTAATCGATTTAGTATGATATATATACATTAAAATATTTTTAATCAATAAAAAAAATAAATTTTAACATATTAAAACTATTATATATAGCGCCATCTATTTTTTTTAAAGTATAATAATCGCAATATTTTTTTAAATAAATACTCAGCCATAATATTGTCGAAGAAATTATTAAAAAAATAGTAAACGGATAATAATTCTTAAAAAAATTAAAAATCGGAGATCATATACATTTCGAAATATTAATTTCAAGTTTTAAACTGACCATAAGATGACCCATATTTTATCAAAAATTAATTTTGATGTTTTGGCCATAATCATCAATTATTAACTTGGCTATTGATATTAGATTCAATATTTGATCATATTTAGTTTTAAATTAAAAACTAATTATTTAACATCAGTAAAAAGCAAAAAAAGACGTCTTTTGGACCTTTAACCCCGAATATCTCCGCTAATATAGTTTCTAATGCGCTAAAATTTTGTTCATAATCTAATGGGAACATATATAACCAGCCTACGAATTTTTATCGAAATCGAAAGGGGTCGGCCGAAAAGTGATTGATTTGACATGGAATGACCCTTTTGTGAGAATAGAAGATCTACGTGATTTATATATAAAAAGCATTCGAAAGAAAAGTAGATTGCACGAGGGATAAACTTTATTTAGAATATGATGGTGATACTATATTAAAACTCTGCGAAGAACTTTTCCGAGTACGGTTTAAACCGAACCTTAAAAAAGATAGGCAAGATGCAGGGCTTTTTAACCGATGTCAAAAATTAAGCCTTCATTCTTTTCTTTTATTTCCTTCTCTCTTTTATTTTATTTGTAATTATTTTAAAAAAGTGAATAATATTTTGAATCATTTCGGCCCGTATCCAATGACATTAATCTTAATAACCTAAACTGAAAGATTCATATGATCAATGTCACTGACCGAAAGTTAACGGCCATTTGGAAGGCATTTTTACATTTAAATACTTTTCAAACAATGGAGGACTTCACTGTTATCTAATGAACCAAGATAATTTCTCCTTCTACGGCAAAAAAAAAGAAAAATCAAATTGATATGATCGAAATATAAACCATCCTATTTTTTTGGGATCCCGACTCTGCATTGGACGAGGTTTCGGCCCGCCCGCCCACGAAAACTGTGGGTGGGGTGGGTGGGCGGATAAAAACCTGACCAATCAGACCTATAATTTCAACATTTATAATAAGATGTCGCTATTTTATTATACGTTTATGTTATGCATTTTTCCATAAAAAAATTATTGACCCCGACCCCTAATTTTTAGGATACCATTTTTTTTCGACCCGTTCCTGGTGTACAAGAAAGAAAAAATTATATTAAACCTCTTCGAAAATCTGCAAATGGTACGAATTATCGTCGTCGGCAAAATACACGACGCCCGTACTGAAACTTTCGTCGTCGGGTTCTTCGACGAGCCGCCTTCCTTCCGTATTTATTTTATCCGACTCTTTCGTCGTCGTTATATAATTATTATTATTCCTGACTTTGCCTTCTCTATCCTTCTGCATCTCGTCATTCACATCCGTGACCAATAACTTCCTCCCCATTTCCCCAGTTTCATTGGCTGTTACGACGACATCCGGACTTCCCAAAAGCACGGTCCTCAGCATGTCTTCTACCCTGTCATTGATTTTCCTGTTATCGCTCAAAACCTTTTGGCGCAGGCGCGTTAAAACGAACTCGGCGACGCCTTCCGCCCCCTTTCCCAGTATTTCTTCTCGAGGGAGATGGTCCAATAGTTGCGCCGAGGGTGTATTGAGAACGTAGGTTCGAAGGCGGTACCATACCTCCCTGAGCCAATAGATACCCTGGTTCCGTTGGACAGAACCTCTGGGTCTGTAGGGCTGGATCTTGAGACCTTCCTTGGGTCAAACCAAATGTGAACCAAAAATGGACATAGAAAAGGGCGAGGAGGTGAGGGGAGGATAAAAAAAAATAAAGTTTTAACGAAAGAAAAATGAGAAGTAAGCGGTAGTGACTACATAAACCGTAAAGTGGAAAGGGGGTTAAAACACAACCAGCTTTCTAATGATGGGGGGGGGGGGATGCTTCAAAAAAATTTCTTCTCAGACGCTTTAGTTACACAATACCTAAAAAAAATTTACGATTGATAAGGATTTTAATATTCATTCATTCATTTTTAAGTAAACCTGGTTATTTTTTTTAGTATAAATTTAAATTATTTATTCATTTTTTTGTGCCATTTTGTTCCTCGCGGCGATTTAAAATAAAAAGACAAATTTTTTTAAAAAAATGAATAAAAATGTTAAAATTTACAAATTGTGTAAAAAAAAAATTTTAAATAAATGATATTTTCAAGTTATCTTCCTTTTCAATCTTTCCCAACCCGCCATCTTCTTTTTTATTTTTTGACCTTAACTGGATCGCTTAAAAATCTACAATGAAAACGTATTCGTAAAAAACGCATTTTATTCCCCATATCCTTCTGTTACGAGCAAAATTGAAATTTATGGCTTTAACTGCCTTATTTCGATCATATGGCGTTTATATCTAAATTTTTTTGTTGGGCAATCTCCCCGATACCTTTATTTTAACGGGCGTTTCGGCGAACAGATGGGTATGAGAGATACCGGAAAGCTGTAATAGATTCTTGATGGCTTGCCTTTTTTCCGTTCCATCCTCCACGACTATCCAATGGCAAAAGGGGACCAACATGAGGGTTTGGCTCAGGCGAATCAGGTCGGCCTTCTGTTGCGGCTTTTGTATGGTAGACGTGACGATAAAAATCACCGGAAGTGGAGACAGATCATCGATGGGAAGCGAAGTTAAGCTGGAAAGTGAATGCTAAGGTGTATATATTGTAGAGATTAAGATATTATAATTCCGCTAAATTCAAATTTTTCAACAAAATTGACATGTCCGTTTAGCCCTGGAATTTACACCTCTCAAAAATTGAAAAACCCAACCAACCGATTTAACTGACTGTAGAATCCATTTTGTTTTCAACCCGGATCTCAATGAATAAGAAAATCTTTGAAGATTATTATGATCCTATATCAAACTCTGCTTATTAATTTTTTTTTAAGTAAGACAAATTTGGTATCAAATAAGTAACAGAGATTTCCTAACCCGAAAAAGATATCTTATTATTATTATTTTTTGTATAAACCCTGAACCTAACTGAGTTCAATTATAACTTAAGCAGCTGATCCGTAACCTTTTTTTTTAATCTTTCGCAATCCAGAAAACTTTTATACGCTTCGAGTCCATGATCATATGTTATTGGTCTAAACCAGAGAATTCGTATAATAAGACTAGGGATACATTATTTCCCGAAGTTGATTTATTTTTCGAAAACAAAAATATTTCGTTATAAAAATTATATAAGCATGTTTTTTATTTCCCCCCCCCCCCAAAAAAAACAGGTTTTTTTTAATATAGCATTCCTAGTTATACCTTTTTATATTATTGCTTTACCAAAAGTAATTTCAGATGTGGAGATAGCCTTAAAAATGTACAATGTTATTTTGAACCAAAATTTGCACAAATTTATTTAGTGGAGAGAAAAAAAAGAAGAGTTTTTTAAAACCAATCATTTCGAAACGAAATAATTTTTAAATTCTTTCGTAAGAAAAAAACTTCCGCATTTTATAAATTACTTAAATATATTACCAAATCGTTATTAAACCCCAAGGACTTCTCCAAGGTTTTGAAGTTCTCGTCCGTTATGTCCCAATTTTTACTTCCGTAATTTAGCGGGTCAGATTTGGCTGCCGTCGCAAAAGAGAGACTTAGCCTTTTCCAGAGCCGCATCTTGGCTATCAGCATGGCCTGTATATCGGAGTCGATTCTTATCAGAAATTCCTGAATTATTTGCTCCGCTTTCGGTTGAGAAGGTAGCGCGATGGAAAAATTATGGGACAGCGCCGCAGCCCTCAAGAGTAGAGGATCGTCGAATGTTACAACGGGACACGGAGAAAGGTGTTGACTAGATGACGCCGCGATGGGTTGTTTAACATTGATTATTTGGCGGGGCGTGGTGGCTTTTAAATAATGACATTTAAAATAGGGTACATTAGAGTTACGTGTGGAATGAGGACGAAAAAAAAAGTGATAAAGGCAGATGGGGGAATTTCAATGAACAATATTCCAACCCACTTAGTTGTTTTTAGCAGAAAAACTATTCGTTCAACTATCGAGGTTTAAGCCGGAAAACGGTTTTAAACCGGTATTTCCAGGAACATTAATTGGAAATAATGTTAGCGAAGGAAATATTGATTGGCATTTATTAGCTCATAGTTTTGGTTTGTACTCTAATAACCCATTACGAAAAATTTGTTTACCAACAAAGATTATATACATTTTTTTTCTTCGAATGTTAAAGGAGCGGCAATGCAATACTGGACCGGGGAAAAAAAGCACCACTAGTAAAGATTTTAAGATTTACCTTCAAGTTTCGGATTCGACCAATGACTTTAATTATAACATAAACCATAGATCCATGTAACCAATGTCATTGGCTGAAAGTTAGACGCCCATTGAAAGGCTTTTTTCATCTAAATACTTTTCAATGGTGAGCTTCGATGTTATGCACGCTTCTTAATGCATTAATGTATTATCGATATGAGCTAAGTATCGATGCCACACAGGGTTTACATCATAGCGAGAGTGAAAGTTATCTTAGTTCCTAAAATATACTTTTGCTCTCCTACTGTTAAATATATGAAGCTCCTCTACTAACGAGGATGCAATTTACAAAAAAGGCGGTCATTCAGACGACTTCGTTTATACACCATCTAAAATTAAACACTGAGACTGTGATCCTGGTTCGTTCTCACTCTTTAGAAACTTATCGCTCTTTAGACACCCTACACATACACATTCTTCTATTTTAAAAGTGTCAGTTACTAATTCTAAATAATCTCTTTGGCTTTACAGATTTCTGTTTAGAAATAAGAGGAGTCAAAATGGAACCCTGGGAACACTTCGAAACCTTAACCCTAACATCGCCCAAAGAGGTAGGTTAACGGGAAGAAAAATTGTCTCAAAGACCGGAAAATCGAGCCAGGGAACCAACCGCGCACCTAAACCGGATGTCGATCTCCGGGCTACTCAGAATTTCGATACTTATTTCTAAATTTAGCCTAAGAGGCGAAACAGCTGATTGCTTTAAAGCGTTTGGCGGCATTTTCATTTTTCGCATTTATTTAGGCTCTTTCCAGGACAACACAAAGGATTTAATTTTTAATATAATCGATTTATAGTTTCATAAATTATTAAAGGAATATTTTAACGGAAGAATAATAATGATATTTAAAAAAGATTTATTTATTTCGTATTTTAAATTTTTTTAGAAAAATTTTTGTAAAAAAAAGACAAAAAATTTATTTTGTCTTAAAAGTTTAAAATATAGAAAAATTTGTTATAATTATAAAGATATTTTGTGAGAGAGACTCGAAATCTAAATCTAAAAAAAAAAATATTAAAATCTTTATAAATTATTAAATTTTTTTATTTCTTTCTTTTCTTTCTTTTATTTATATATTTCTTTTTTCTTCAAATTGGAGAAGCTATGTTGTGATTTAAAAATAAGCAGATAAAAAGGGTAGACATAATTTAGAAACTTGACCGGCCAGATACTTTACTCAGCCATGCACCATATTGCGATAAAAAAATTAATGCCACCTGCCAGCATACTTATTATCAACCCGGTCGGATTTCTTAATCGGTTTTTTCCCCGGAATTACACCGGTTTTCAAAAATGTGATTTTAAAATCCGGTCTAACAGCCTGAGGTCGAGTAAGTACGTCTCTGACTTTAAATTATTCATTTTTTTTGAAAAAATAATTAAAATTCATTATACGCATTCTAATTAGTATATTTTAAAAAAAAACAACAAAATTTTTAACGATTTCAAATTTTAGATTTTAATGGGAAAAAAATATCATAAAATTATAAATTTTCCAGAAACTTCCTCCTACGATTAATTGTTTTACCAAAAAAAAACCATTTTTTTTGACGCCATAACATCTGTTTGTTACCTTTCGTTTATGTAATTTCCTTTTCTTTCTTTCATTCATTCTATTATTCCTTTTATTTATTTTAAAGAATTAATGTTTTTGGGGCAATATACATTCCGTTTCTCCTAAGATATATCTCTCTTCTCTCTTTTCAAAATTTTAACCAATATAATCACTCCATTTTTTTTCGAACTCAGGATAAGACCGGAAATAGAGGAATAATGAATATTTATTCTTATTTTAGATAAGCAAAAAAGATTTTTTTTTTCTGTATCCAAAATCAGATGGATCACTTATCTTTCTATTTAGCTAAATGATATATAGCGTGGATCAAATTGGAAATCGAACTTGTGCTGTGATGCGACTCAGTCAAGGTATCTAACAAACTTCTAGCCATACAGCTGCCATTCAAAAATTGTTGAATATTTTTAAAAAAATCCCATATGTTTTACGATCAGCCTAACTACATTTCTAATTAGGGGTAGGCCTATAGCCTATTTCTCTTATATTTACTTTCGGTGTTTCTAAGAGACTCTTTACCCCTTATGACGTTTGCGATCTAAGCTGAACATTGATAATGAGGGTTCGATACGGAAGGCGTTTAAAATTATTTTACGCAAGTTATCCCTCCAGCCCGTGATTTTTATTTTTAAGTTACAGATATAAATTTGCCTAATTAAATTTAAAAAAAATTTTTACGAGCTTTAGACCTGACCCGTAAAAATATTCGGCCCAAGTTTATCAGTTCCAGTTGAAAATGGACCGTCAGAAAGAAAGAAAATAGACCTCTGATACGCGTAGCCTCCAGGCTCTGGTGCCTTTTTAGCGATTTCTAGGATTTCAAGTTTTTGATAAACTTTGTTAAACGACAACATTTTACCAGAAAAAAATTTGATTTGTAGGGAAGGAAAATTATGGAACCAATTCACTATCCAGAATTTAGTTTTTTTTGGTCAAAATGTTATAGGAAGAAAAAAAAATTATGTTTTTTTAAACATTATTATTTCAAATATAAAAAAAATGGCGTTGACTAGTTAAAAAATACCTATAAATTATTTATGATCAATTTATTTTAAAGCGAGGAAAAGAAGAAATTCCAAATATATTTATTTATCTTTGATTAAAAAAAAAATAAAAATTATATAAAAAAGAGTTAAAATAAATTCATTTTTATTTTGAGAAGACATTTTTTTAAAAAAATAAATACATCGTTCCGTAATAGGAAAAGATATATAAAAATGGAAGAAGAATTAACAGATGATTTGGAAAAAGGTAATAACTAATAATAATAGAAAATTCTTTCTTTCTATCTTTTTTTTATAGGTCTTTTAAGATACAAGATTTAATCCTAATTTACAATTTAACACGATAATCGTGTGTTTATATCGGTGATCTACATCTAGCCCTAATTTTTCAAGCTCGGCCCGACCCGATCCAGAATATAAAAAAAATTTATTTGACCGGAAAAGCCCGACCGGAAATAAAAATTTATTTGTCCGTGCGACCCTGGCTCGAATTTATTTAATTTAGCTCTAATTCGAATTCACTCCCTCCCTTCCCAGAAAATGTTATTAACACCACGATCTTAGAAAAGTCTAATCTCATTTAGAGGAAGAACCCTGTAATAGCTTCCCCGAAAGGGTATAGGAAATTGCGTTTAAAAAAAAACATTTCCATTTTGATTTTTAACCCGCCAACACTAGGCGCCGAATCGTGAGTACCATTTTTAGTCGCGTTTCGCGAATAACAAAGGGCGAACGGTCTTTCGACCTTTCGATAACTTGCAATTTTGTAATATTTTTCTAAAAGCGCCCATTCGAAATTAATTCGAAAGACGGTTGAAGGCTACAAAATCCCATTAAAATGGAAGGGGCTCGAAACTGATAAAAAGAAAGAAAGATTCTTCGTGGAATCGATATTTCAAAAATTTTCAAAGACCTGTGGGTTCGGTCATTTTATCGACTAAAATGTCAGAAATGATTCAACAATATAATAAAAATTTAATCTTTCCCACTTACCTGGAATAAAAAAGGAAGTTTATTTTTCTTGATTTTTAGACCATTTTTTAATATATATAATTATAAACGTTATATCGATTATTCCTTCCATTTCAAACCAAAAAATTTTCATAAAAACTAACAAGACAACAACAATTATGTAATAAAATATAAATATATAAATGTTAATTTAATTATTAATAATAACTTGCGAAGTATTATATCTATTATAAAGTATTTTCATTTATGGGGTAAGATAGAGATAGGCTAATGGCGGACAACAGAAATATGAATCCATTTCCGGTCGAAAAAAAGGCGATATATTAGAGCCCTTCCTCCCGCTTCTCTCCTTTTCTTTTTTTGGTGGTTGGATTTTTTCCCGAAAAATTTTGGGTGCCTTCCTTCAAGTCTTTGCGCGAGACTAAATTAGAATAATAGTGTTAAGGGGGCTCCATCATTCCTTCCAACGCTCCCCCCTTCCCACTAATTATTCCCTTTCCCATTGTTCCCCTTTTCCATCCCCGGGTAATATCAGTTCGCGTCGAAATATTATCAAGTTTTTATTTAGTCGATTTTTTACAAAAATTTCTATTATTTTAGAGTGACATGAGTGGCTTAGAGGTTAGATACAATGATCGAGAAACTGCGCCATACTGGTTTAGTTAGAATTGATTATTTCTTTATTTGGGGGTTTAATAAATTTCAATATATTTATTCAAGCGTCGTCATCATATGTCATCATCACCCTTCCCCCCCCCAAATCTCCTTATATTCATTTTGCCACCCATTACTTTCATCCCCCAACCACATACTCGAAAGTTGATAAGAAATGTATAGCAAAAGGAAATCGATCAGCTGCTTGATCTTGTCCAGTATGATTACAGGCCTAAATCTTCATGGAAAAAAAAATATTTTAAGGCGTATGCTTCGAGCTAAATTCAGACTCGCCGTAAAAAAAAGGGTTACGCGGCATTTATAATAAGCGCGATTTTCTCGAGTGACGCAAAATTAATCGCTAGTGAAATC